TTGCACCTCCCGTCTCACCATACATCCATCAAGTCACCACGTCTGATGGCTGTGACATCGGAGAACCGAGAATACCTAACTGAAACCCCTGAAGCTTAGTCCAATTCGAGGAACAATCTGCCTACCCACATCAGGTAATGCGAAAGCCGACCCAGATCTGTGAGACAACAGCATGGACGCCCAAATGAACGCACGAAAATGATAGATAACCTCTGTTAACAACCCCTAACAGAAGATATGATTGAAACCCACCGCGCAGGGCAGTTCCCACAGAACTTTTCGAGTCGGTTTGAATAACTTGTCTGAAAATGCGACAACGGCTGCTGCTGCAGAAGTACACCAGGTGCTGAGACAAATCACCAAGTGCCTCTTTAGCAACGTAAGAGGACTATGTAGTAAGCTGCTACAAATCAGGAATATGTACTCTCAGATGGATCTGAAGATCATAATCCTAACTGAAACATGGCTATCCACTGACATTGCAGACGAAGAAGTGAGCTTGCCAGGCATGACACTCTTCCTAAGCGATAAGGAACACCAAACTGGAGGTAAAGTGGCTATGTATATAAATAGACACTTAAAAGCACAGCGACTATATCACACCCAACTAACTGAGGTGACTGAATCATATTGGTGTTGTTTCCACACGAATGGCACGAAATACTTGATTGGAGGGATCTACCGACCTCCTTCGGGTATTAAGGCATGGAAAAGCAAACAGATCGAGGTCATACTGCAACTGCCACCTCTGTAATTTCATTAGGTACTCTCAGCTGGAGATTTCAATACGCCATCTTTAAATCTCAGCAATCAGAGAATAACTGCCACGGGTTGGTTCCGAAGACAAATTGGTACAGCCATTAGAGGATATGGGTGACTGACCACGTATGCAGTGCCACTAGATGGATTAAGAAAGGGAAGTCCCCAAACCTTGATTATCTGTTAACAAATGACCAGTTCCTGGTTGGGGATATTCACGTCCGCCCATCGATAGGTAGTAGTGACCATGGAACACTCATATTCAACTTGGTCACAAACGAAACACACACACCAAGGGTTGTGTTCTCTAAAAGGACTAAACGTAAAAGACCTCACCAACCTACAGATGCCCCTACAGATGATCTTCAACACAAACGTTTCTGATCAGTTAAACCAGGTGCCCACATGTTCAGAGTTTTATGCTAACCCATTGCCAACTGATGGCTGAATCTACATGCTTATCACTCTTGACTTAGTACCAAGGAAACTAAAATACTTACGACCAAGTAAGTCACCAGGTGGTGACAAAATCCGCCCCATACTCTTGCAAAACTGTGCAGAAGTCCTCTGCTGATCGATATGCGACCTGTTCAGGCTTTCACTGGAGTCGCAACAGTTCCGAGCCGAATGAAACCAAGCTATTATCTCTCCAGTATTCAAAGTAAAAGATAGAAGGGACCCAGATTGTTACACATCAGTCTCACTAAACCAATATTATCAAAGGTAATGAAAGGACTTGTGAGCGAACAAACGACGGAGTATATGGATAAGGATAAAATAATCCATGAAGCTCAACATGGGTTTCGGTAAGGCAGGTCGTGTTCATCTAATCTTCTCATCGCATGGAACAGTTGAACATCGTGTCTGGACCGTAAAATACCGGCACACGTAATATTAATCGACTTTGCAAATGCGTTTGACGCAGTAACTAACGCACACCTATTCGAAAAGGTTGTGCAAATGGGCTTCACTGACCCATTCATTTCCTGGTTCAGAAACAAACATGAGAATGGAAAGTTTCGCACCAAGGTAAACAGAGTTCACTCGAGCAGGCGAGTATCCGCATAGGGGAGGTTCACAGGAGAGCATCCTAGGCCCATTTCTCCTACTGATATTTATTAACGACTTGCTAGGCTCAGTTAGCTCACCAGCATTGATCTACGCAGACGATGCAATGATCTGAAAGTCTATGAGAAGCGGAGAGTATTCGACTGAGCTTCAAAAGGACTTAACATCTTTTGAGAAATGATCAGTGAAAAGCTGATTAAAACTCAACCAACCGAAGTGCAACGTCATGCATCTCCTGCCTTACATGACGCAAACGATTTATACCCTCAATAGATATCCGCTCCATGATGTCTCCCCAGAGCAAGATTTCGGTTTAATAACCCTAGAAAGCCTCCACACAATTCATAACTATGCAGCCAGGATGAATGCGACTCTTCACTTTATGCGAAGACAGCTTGGTGCTTTCACTAAGAAATGTTTTAAACTCTGTTAAAGACGTACGGACGACCACACTTGCAAGTTCACAACGTCAACACACCCAGTCTGCCTAAAAAAGACAAATCTCTTAGATCGAGTGAAGAGACGAGCAACCAAATCCGTGAAAGGGTTGAAAAATAAACCTAACGACGATAGACTATAGCTCTTGGGTTTATTTACACTGAGCTACAGGTAAATCAGAGGTAGTCTGATTAAGGCGTACACCATAATAAACATGTGAAGCCATTCCAATGTCAGCATCCTACCGATGCATCACCACCATTCCCTTCGAAGAAATCCTCGAAAGATTGCATATCAAAGAGCGGATACTCAGATTCGTGCACACTTTTCCTCATTGCGACTGGTCGATACTTGGATTACTCTCCCGGCCAAGATAACCACAGTTCCTTCAGTGGACTGCTGTAAGAAGAGACTTGATAATCACGTACTCAAATACAAACTATCATCTTACTCTCGAACAAGCTGTTCATGATGCACACCTTGAGACCTGCTAGTTGTTATCATTGACATCTACTCAGATCACTCAAATATTATCTTCCTTTTCCCCACAGTTTACACTCTGGTCCTCTCTAAATTCATCTATATATTACGCAGTTCAGAAATTTCATTCATATTACCATCAGAATTGTATGCTGATTATCCTTATTACTCTCCACAGTGCAACTTACTGATCCCTGGTCTGTTTTTGTGACGTCTACTGGTATCCAGTGACCCTACTGCCCTGAAACAAAAGCTTTCATTTAAGTGCCGAGACATACGAACTCACAACTAACTGCCAACTAACTAGAATTAGACAGCCGAGTGCCTAGACTTCCATCCATTGGACGTTACCAAACACCTGGAACCGCACCGAAAGAACAGGTCAGGTATACAACAACATAGAACTTCGCACTTAAATACACAAATTTAGGTTGTCACACCTTATCAGCATATCACAAAATAATGAACTGTCTCTGTAGACGTGAAATAGTAAGTCCTTGAATAGAACACTTCAAGCTCACATGATCGGGAAGAATATAAGAGTCTGTCATTACAAATGATAAACGTCAGTTCAAGTGATAAAAATCTTTGAACGGTAATGTATCATGGGAACTCGTTCTAAGGTGACAAAAACGATACTTTAAGGTTCAATTGACATTTTATTTCTCTTTGGTTATTGTATTTATGGTACATTCAACCAATGATAATAATATTGAATGAGCATCATTTATTGATTTTGAAGTTAGATATGGTGATCATATCGGTTTTAATTTACGAACAAAATCGATCTAGAATTCATATTTTTGTGACAAACAACTTCAGATATTCTATGACGAAAACATCTGTCACAATATGTCTGCGATTGTTATTATAACTATCGTAATATTACTTCAATTATCATAAATGTTAAGATCTCGTGTATGTTAAAGAATAAATGACTTCAAACTTGCACCTAATTGTTTTAGATTTGGATCCGCAGGAAGCTGCAAGTGGACAAATTGAGTCCACTGCAGTTTTCAAAATCGTAGAAAGGCAAAGAGTTGTGCGTGGGGTTTGCGATTACAACTGTGAAAACAATAATCCAGAAGTAACAACTGCTGATTAAGAGTTCTCTACGAATAATACCTAGTATTCGCTGTCCAGGCACCATCAGCAGCAACATACTGTGGGATAGCGAAAACATATTCCAGCTTAGAAGGAATTAAGCAAGTAGCGGTGGAAGTAGTTTACACATTCTGCAACAACGTCACATATGCACCACTGAAAAAACACTCACCAGGAAGCGTGAATGGGTATAGGTAAATCAAAAAGCACATTACTCAAAAATTTATAGAAATTCATTAGTATGATGAGGAAACATTCGACATAGAAAGAAAGCTCATCAGCGTGTTGGTAATGACGGTAAATTAAGTAGGCTCCAATACTACATTTAAAGTTTATCAAATGAAGACTGCTGCTTATATTTTTTCGCATATATCTTCACTAGTGTCCGTGAAAAAAGGCGTAATATATTTCCCCCCAGATAACTCTCGACCGATATAAAATTAATATGTCAAATGTAAACGATGGCTCTCATGCAAATACATACTCGAATAAATTTTTGATATTCCCACTTTTCATCGCAAACGAAATAATGTGTACAGTTATTATATTATTCTCCCGAGTGACATATTGTCGCAGATCTTCTTACAATAATAATAATAACATTTGATTGCAATTTGTGTTCAGTTTTAGAATCATCTTGAGAATAAAACCTAAGAACCAACTCAACTAACGTACTATTTCTGACTTAGAAATAACGTGATTGAATCTTACTACTTACTGTAGAGGAAAGGAATTAATGTATTCTTACTTCAATGAAGACGACGTAACAAGAAATTTACTAAAAGAAATCTTGTCTAGTCTCAACTTAACTTTGATAAATCAACATTTAGTCTCGCAAATATCCTAAGGATAAAAATAATATTACAGTAATATTTTTAATTATATTGAATCAAGCATACAAAATTCATGTTTCTCTTGACAAGTTATTGCTTTTCCATTGAATAGCATTATACAATTTGAGGTTTTCGACGCCTTGTATGTGGATACCTGGTCTTCCCGTATTTTTGTCTCCTTGAGACATTAATTAATTCGGATGAATTGAAAAACGGCTTCAAATAGAATTCTCTTGGACAATTTCCAAATGAAGTGCAGTTAATATGTGAAAATGATCTGTTCATACAAAACCGTACTTCCTCTAAATTGAAATATTTGGCACCCTGGTAAAGGTTTGCGAAATGATGGAAAGAATCATTGTTGAAAACGCTTGCAAAAAGGAATATCACTAAAAATTTCATGATTTAAATTATACTTGAAATGTTAAAAGAACTAAGCATTTGTAAAGAGGTTTTATTAAAAGTCGCACTTTGACGATCAAAGGAAATTGGAATTACGTTGATCGAAGCCACACGAATGTGAGAGAAAAACTTACTTTCCCGCGGCCTTGCCTGCATATTATCAGAGCTGGAAAACCGTATTCTATCTTCATTATCTTTTGGAAGTATGTTAGCTATGTAAATAGGAAAATACAATAAATTTCTAATGACAGTAAAAATTAATGTTGAATTATTACTTCAAATGGCTTTTGACACATAATTTTGATACAGTAAATATGATCTCTTTTGATGTGAACCTACACAATTTGTCTGGAGGTTGTCAGTCGATTTAAATGTAAAGCGAGTAAATGTGGAATGATACAAGTAAATAATAATAAGTTTATGGTAAATTGGTCAGGTACGATAATAGTAAACACAATGAGTAAGCCTCAACGACGAAAATAGTTTAACTTTTTTGAACGAAGAAAATGTATCGTTTCTTGAAAAACTAAGTGTTATCTAGCAACTGAGTTATTACGTTTCACATGTAAATGATCAGGTTTCATCTCACGTGAAAAACCCAACGCGCCTTCTGAACAACATGATGTCATAAGAAACACACACATAATACCCTATAATGAAGCACAAAAGTTATATTTATAATCTGCAGTTGGTAAGTGATATAAATAAGTAATGTGTGCGTATTTGTTGACAAATACACTTACATTATACAATGTTCGATTGCTTGGAACGATGTTATGGCGTCTCAGTGTGCTGTAATAAAGTATATCAAAGAAAACATTCTAATAATTTAACGTATCTTATCCTCATCATCGTTTCATAAAAATATTCTAGCAATTGCTGAAAATCGTCATTTTGTTTCGACAAGTGATTAAAAAAAATTGAGTTGATCAATCATTTGTAACTTGTTTTCATTATTTTCGTAACATTGCTGTATGAGTTTATTTATTGGTGGCCATTTATTGACATTCATATCTTTGCATGTATCCCGATACTGACATGAATACGGCTTCAAAAACCGATAGTATCTTGTACGTCGTGCCTTTATACAAGTGCACCACGTTACGAAGTTCAATAAAAATAACAGAATAATCAATCAGGTTACACGTTTGACAGTGTGATGATTTAAAGCAATCACCACAACATGGGTTGATCGCTCAGATGGCCTAATCTCCGTGGTATGTAATTTGTTCGCATAAGTTTTAATCGTCCGTCCTAAAGAGTGATTAGTTTGAGCGTAAATAACAAAAGAATAAATTTAAGTCACAATCAGTCACCCACCAAATAAACTAACTACACATCGAATCCAACATATTATAATAGGAATTGGATCACATACTTCAAAAGATCTGTTTTGTTATAAACTTCAAGAGCAGTTTTGAAGTAACCATAGACGCCTTGTATTTTAGGATCTTGAACTGCACACTGTCCGTGTTTATTAAATTGGAATTCCCTAATAAAAAAACAGGTAAGATAATTTTTCAGCGCTCTACACAAAATCATTTCCGCAAATTTAGTTATCATCATACATGATCATGAGTGATACAATGAAAATAAATTTGAATTGAAAGTCATTACGCTGGACGTGAATAACAAGATGAATCTTAGTACGCTGGAATTTGAAAATACTGTCGTGTAAATAAGACTAGGTTTATTGCTCTCAATCGGAGATTTTAGATAGAAATCGTTTAGGCTACAACGACTGACGTGATTTTTATAATATTTTCGATCATTTTTACGCTAGTTTGTCTGCTTACACTTGACACGACGCACGGATACTAACTCGTCATTTTATAACTAGCAAACAAGTTATGCTTTCGCTTATTAAATTAGCGACTTGAAATAGTAGTTTGTATATCAAAATTGTGCTTAATTTTGAGAACTGTGATGAATGATTTTCTCATCAGCCCACCAGCACACGAAATTGAACATTTCACACTACCCATTTGTGTGCTTCCGAAATCTGTGTTCAGCTACTGAAAGTGGGTAAATATACATTCACATTCACTCTTACCAAAATATTTCTTTCGAGGAACAATTTCTTAAACAGGACCATTTTTGATCTAATTCTGGTCTCAATGGCTGAAATAAAATGAAAACTCTTGTTAGTTAGCTATAGCTCGATAATTTTTTAATCATAGTGCAAGGTCATTCAAATGTGAGTATTCACACTCAATGTCCCGAAGAATCGGCTCAGTATTCTTCAGGTTTGCCGAGATTTCTTTACATTTTGCTTATTGTTGATATTCTCACTTATCAACACTCACCCACGTTATCAGTCCAGACAATGTTGAAAATGAAAATGTGACATTCACAACGAAAGAGTGCTCAATCATCGACAATTAGTTTGAAAATTCTAATATTTAAAAACATTAAAATGAAGCGGGTTAATTTCTTTTTCACTTTCGCGCTTTTATCAACGAATTGTTATATACTGCTTTCCTGCTTGCACATCTTGAGCAGACATCTCAAGAAACTGGGTCATTTGAAAGCAATAATGTGTTGTTATATACATCGAAAGATGATTGTAGAAACTCGTAATTTGTCAGAGAATAATATTTCGATTTAAATGTATTCCTGTTTTGCCAGCATCAGTTCACTGTAGACGATATGAAAATTCTGTTTTATTTTCAAACTTATTGATAGGGTTGTAACAGGAATAAATAATTTTGAGTAACAAAACGGCCTGCACAATAATCATGCTGAGTTAAAAATCTATATAGAGATTTATGAAACACATCTTCTGAACAAGAAAGCGTTTGAACTTATTCTCGAATCATTGATCATTGAATTGCATTGCTAGCGAATAAACGAGATCACAACATAATTCGAATACTTAATTTACATTATTCATTCAGGTAATAACGTTTAATCTTATTTTAATGTAACTCATTATCTTAAGGCTGATTTTGTGAAACATATATATGGTGTTCCTATCTGTCTTTACCTTCTCCATTATGCAGTGTACTTGTATAAATCATAAAAAGAAATGGCAGTATGAATGTTCAATGTGAAGTTACTTCATCACTGTACAATTAACTCCGATTTTTCATATTTACAACGATAAATTACAATTAGTGATTATCTAACTATCAATCAATAGTTTTTTGGTTTGTGCTCTTTTATTTAACATTAGATTCAATCACAAGTGACATTAAATAACACATAATGATTAGGGAAATACTTCATCAAACTCACATCTAAAAGTGTTGCATTGAATATTACGGTCGGTGTGCAATTCGGAGTTATGTCTGGATAAATTTGAGGCCTGTCCAACGAAAAAATCGAACAACGATTATTTTTCAAACTTAACGTGCAATTGTATTGTACTGTATTTTGGTGAATAACACGTTTAACAAAAATGTTCCCTCTGTGAAGTGTCTAACGTGATACAAGGGCACTGAACATGCCAGTCTTGGTTCGGCTCTAAAAAAATCAACTTTCGAATGAAAAAAATCTATATATTCCATGAGAAGAATAATGTAATAAGTAATAACTGAACTTCTTGAAAATGGCTTCTGTATTCACCAGAACATTCCTAGGATTTCTTTATTGTTATGCACCTGTTAGGTATATATTCCATTTCATTCAGGTGATACATGTGATTTCCAAAGTGTTTGTGTCCTTTTAGAGAATAGGTTTACATCAGAACCTCTTCACATCTTAAGTAAACTATCACAGTACGGTTTCATGTAAGTTCGCACGACTTCATTACAGGTGCATTATCATAGATTCATTGGATTACCAATTAATAACGACAAATACGGGCACCTGAATTCTATTTCAATCTTCATTCAACATTCACACAATGTAAAATCAAAATATTCTCTTACCAAAGTCCATGAATTGTGAAAGATGTCACTCCGTCTGGTATTGGGAGCTAAATAAAAGGAAAGCAAAGTTATATAAAAAGGTTATGTTCAACCGTAGTAACGATTATACGTTTTGAAATTTGTATCAAGTGTTCGGAAACTTTTGTGGAAAACCAACTCATCATTATGTTATCCAGGGTTGTTGTATACAACGTTACTAAAGCACATTGATGAATTTACTTTGTTTTGGATTCAATAATACAATTTCATGACGGTTCACTTTAAGATCATGAAGTTCTTGAATTCTATTTCGTTTCCGTTCACATAATCGTCACGTTGTGGATTATTAATTGTGATTATCAAGTTCGCTGAAAGCAATTTTGTCATCATGCAATTTTCAAATTCAAATTCGTTACTAATCACAAAATAATGTATCCTTTCTAGCTGCATTTAGTCGATAATAAGCGATGATATAACTCAACAAAATCAAATTAAATATCCTTCTACAAAGATACGATCCATTTTCTGTAACTTGATCCACGGACGTCGTGATGACGAAAACTGATTATAGTTAATTCAGTTAAATTTCTTATCATGAATAAAATAAAGTAATCTTTTCAGTGATAAACTTAGGTTGTTCATAATTAGGGAAACATTACTATATACGAATAACAATATGTTGGAGGCCAAATTAAACCAAACGCGAAGGAATCCCAACTTATATTTTGCGTTCCAACAATCACAATTGTAGTGCATGCAAGGACAATCAAACAAACGATCCTACAATTAATAAATGTATAAAGAATAGGTTAGGTGTTTCAAGTATCATCTAAAATTCAGAGCTGTTGCAAAACGTGTTTGATGATTAAGATATATACATATCCAAAGTCATGGTCTTGTCATTTTTGTCCATACCATAATCCTGTTAACATAAATATGTGATAGTTTCGAGTGATTGAATTTTGAATAACATAAATCAATTCGAAATAATATAACTAAATCATGAAATTCATATTTACGTAGGACTTTCATTATGAAATATACTGGTTGACACATGATGTCGGAAACATTGACAATTTCATTTATCATAACAGAGATTAACTGAATATCGACTTACAATTCGTGCATTGATAACCAACAAATATTATTGTCAATGAAAACCGGAAAGCGTATTTGGATTGTAAATGATTTAAATTACGAATATATATATATATATATATATATATATTTATATATATACATTCAATACTACTTGTTTAAGTCAAATTTTATTCTAATCACGTATGTAGGTGAGGTCACTGCACACAATCTCGTGAGGTTCATTCACACGATTGCTCTATATTCACTATGAGTCAATAAACACACTTACACAATAAAGTGATGATTTCATGGTGACACTGTCACGTTGTTCAATTTTGCACGTTTACTCAATCGTTTAAATGTGTTTCTTAGAACAACACAACTAGTTTAAAATATTTAGCAGGTTGAGTAACCTTATGTACGAGATCAAGAATTGTTTTTTGAAATCAATAGTTGTGTGTGAGAGTTCATCAGATAGTGATAGCTTCTGTAAAAGTTCGCAATGTATATGAAGATTTATTCCTACTAATTCAGGTTCATCGCATCATGTAATCTCTTTAATGTTCAATTTATGACTCACCAATTCTGTGATGACTGATACTTTATATTATCCTCAACCTCCTACGCTGTACATCCTGATAACCGCCATTAGATATCGGCAAGTGTTTTATACATCATCGAAGAGTTCTTGGGATTTGTGATTGCTTCTTAAAAACCACAAAACCACAGTCATTCGAATCGAGAGTGAAATGTTTCAGGAGTATCGCCGAACATAAAAGTAACCAGACGGTAACACATGTTTGTGGCAAACAATGGCCTTCATAGTATACTGCCGACTAATCGAAATTAATTACGAACGTTCGTGAATGTTTGTAAACTAGCTGTTTATTATGGGAGTAACGCCTAACAAAATAGTAACTAGATGGTAACACATATTTGTGGCAAACAATGGCCTTCATAGTATACTGTTGACTAATACAAAATTTGTAAACCAGCTGTTCAATATGAAACAGTTACATACGATAGCTGTAATCTCTGAATATAATATGAATGCTTCGCACCGAGAATTTTTTCACTTAGTAACCTCAATTACATCTCGTCAAGTGCATAATCAGAGTTCACTTAGAAGTTCACAATACTTATGTTGAGTGTAATGTTAGTGAGAGGTAGCAGAAGACATTGAATCGATGAAACTGAAATCAGCAAAAACAAACTTCAAAATAGATCCTTTATTACAACAGACTAATTTTTGTTGTACCATTGTTGATGAAAACTGAGATGTTATGCATATGAAAGAGCTCATAAAAGCCAACTAGTAACTTGACCTGATTTACGATGGTTGTTTTTGACTACAACTCTGTTGTTATACTCGATTATTATTTATTCACTAGTAAATCTTCTACTTAGCATGGGAAATATCATGTCAAATTAAAGAGTGTGAATGTGCATTACTCACATATCTCACTGCTTGACAAAATGACGACATGAATGATCAACTTACTTATAAAGCCCTACAGCATAAATTCGTTTTTTAATTCGGACAAGTCGACGAATCCATTATATATTGTTATGTCATGTTATCATCTATTACTAACACAGCCGTAATGGCCGATTATTTTGAGCTCGATTTTATTGAAGTTTAAAAAATACGTTTCAGTGAAATAATACTTGAACGCAAAGGTCATAAGAACAAACTTCCATTTCATTCGGAGCAGATCAACGTTCACGTTTTGTGACACGTTTACAATTGTTAGCTTGCTCGCTGATTTATTTAATTTCACCCTTATTTTATTTACTGATAACTCCTACAAACATTGATGAATGCTTGACATTATAATTCATGTTACCAATAGGTTGTGGATTTAGTCATGTAAATATCCGGACACGAAAATGTATCTAGCATTGATGCATTTTAAATGATACAGAATTGTGACCAGAAATAATTTAAAAATGTATATATATTTTATGGAATAAACCGTGATGTAGGGGGCTTGGTTGTCTAAAAACCATTGTAGTTGGATAGAAGCACTAAAATATAGAGAGTAAAACGTCTCGCAGATACATTTTAAAAATCAAACAGTGTCGGAGCGCACATTTGCACTAAGTCGTCAACGCGAACACCTTGATGATGACACATTTTCTAGAAGTAACCTAAATGGCACAAGTCACAGTAAAATTCCTGAATAGTCGGCCGCACATTCAGGAGTGTATCAGAATGAAGCTTTTCCAACATCACGCGCCTGTGACCTAAAATTACAGACATATAGTGTGAGTTATGTAGCGACGAAAAAACAGCGTTGTAAAGAGACATAATATAGGTATAAAAAGAGATAAACAGGGCAGTTATATATCTGTATATAACCAAAGCATCGAAAAAAATCCTTCATGAAAAACACAATTCAGTAGTTATTCTACACAGAAGTAATATTGGCTACTGAAATAATTGTGAACTCCAGCAAAAGTAAAGCAATGAAGAATAGCGAGTTCTTATATGCGCCGTCTGCATCAAATTAATTTTTAAAAAGGACTCATGCTAACACATTTAGGTGGATGGTACATTTATTTGAGCAAAGATTGCAAAAACATGGACTTTAATATGACTTCACTGCCCATGTCCAATTAGACATTCCATGTGTGTCTGAGTAAGCACGTCGTAGGATGGTTTTGACAGAACAGTGATCTCAGGGTAGAGATCACTCAGGGCAGAAGCTAGTCTACGGTATCAAACTCCCTAATACATATAGGTTCGAAAGAGAGAGAAATATGATCATACACTCAGCACAAATGATAGTTGAGAATATAAACAGATAATACCACATTGGCTAAGACATTGTCATTACAATCACTGTAGATGAATTTTCTACCGTAGCAGTTTAATTCGATTCCAATAGACGTATGTCGAACGCACCTTCCCTTAGTCGAATATCAAAACACAATAATTCTAGGAGAAAGTGGTCTATTTATATAAAAGAAATGGAAATGCAACCATTTACTTGCCAATTATTACGTCTTCCAAGTTGAAATTACTCTGATGAGTATCCGAGTTCAAAAGATTGGGTGAAGCTAGTATGCTGCGACGATATCAAATCCAAATATGGCTTTAGCCATATTATATATCAAATTTAAACAACATGTGTACAGTTCAGAAGCAAACATAAAAACTTCAATATAAGTACAAAATATAAAAATAATAACAAAATACAATGATAAAATCTCAAATTGGAATCAAATAAAATACCAAAATGTCAACAAAAAGAGAAAGTTATAACATAACACAAATATATAAACATGGAGGGATTTTCCAAAAAACAAAACATTCAAAAAAGATTCTACACTGGCCCGCAAAATTCCTCCATCCAAAAAAGCAAGCGTTTACTGTCACTTCAAGTTAGGGTTCCCTCTCATTCCCTAATCCACTTCGGAAGAACGAGTAGGACTTACAGCAGTATGCCTACCCGCCCTCTATCAAGCTAACTAAGTACCTATACCTTCCCATCAGGCTTTTGAATCCCATATCTATCGTAGCATGACCTAACGGTAGTATAAACTTTATCCAATTAACCCACATGAACATGTACAACACGTCGTAAAGCTGGTCATATCCTATCCGGGATCTACATTCCATATCATGGGGATGAGTCGTTAATCCACCACCACTTGTTCCGATCGGCAGATACAATGAAGTCCATGATGCTGACTTATCAACAGAAGTTCTTGACCCATAGATAATATGCAGGGGTGAGATCTCCAATTTTGATATTTTCTCGTCTCTCGAAGACTCCAAATAGCATAACATGGGACTAATATTTATCTCTCCATCTCCTGATACAGAGGAGGTTTGATCAGCATTCGTCATCGTCGGCAACTCATTTGTCACATCAGTGACATCCAGATTATTATCATTGTCATCTTGATTCCATTGTGTCAGACAGGTCGCGTCGATTCAGTCTGCACTAGCATCCGTAGAGTGAAACTCTTCCATTGTTTTTATAACTCATCTCTCTACATGAAAGTACAGCATATGTGTCACAATTCGAAACCAATAAACTAACTTGTTGTTCCTCATGTTCCGTTTCAGAGACACACGACATATGCACGTCATTAGCATCGTTATCATGCAACACTGTAGACTGACTGTTACCATGAGACGCTTCCTTCTCATCATCACTTGACTGACAGTCAACCGAAGTAGGAACACTTACAGTTACACAACCTTGTGTATACAGTTCAGAAGCAAACATAAAAACTTCAATATAAGTACAAAATATAAAAATAATAACAAAATACAATGATAAAATCTCAAATTAGAATCAAATAAAATACCAAAATGTCAACAAAAAGAGTCAGTCATAACATAACACAAATATATAAACATGGAGAAATTTTCCAAAAAACAAAACATTCAAAAAAGATTCTACAATCACACCACATCATATCTTATATATCAGTTCAGTTCTAAGAATAGAGAAATGCAAATGAAGAATGTTCGCGTTTGATATAAAGTGCAACGCATCATGTATCCGAT